TAATATTTAGAACAGTTTACAAATGTAAATCGTGTAAGTGGTATATATGGTCACAAATTTTTATTAAACAAATCTAGTAATATTTAGAACAGTTCACAAGCGCAAATAGTTCTTACAAGTGATACATTTGTTCGACCGAATAATCATACCAATATATGTTCTTCAAACTGAAGAGCAATCTGAAAGTTGTCGATGATGATGATGCACTTCATCTTGCTCAGGTCAACAGCTGGCTGCCAAAATAAATAGGAAAATGGAACCACCAGAAAGGCTATCATGGAATTTCTCAAGTTTTGCATGGTAATTGCTTAGGTATTCCTCAAAAAGCGTAAATTTTTGAGACCCAGTGACATCAATTTTTTGCAAAAACACTTCCTGTACCATGACAGGGTCTAGTTATTATACTTATTAGGTCCTCTCATGTACGACATCCAGAAAAGGCTCGGGTCTCAAGAGGGTATGGCAGGCCATTTTAACATAAAATCAACTTTCTCTGACTATAATTACAATCCAGATGTAAAAACAAGTTTTATTTAGGAAAACTTACTTTTTGACTGTCCTGAATGGTAGGATTTCTGTTTTTACTCTGACTAGTCAGAAGAACAATGTATCTTAAAAGGAATTTTGACAAGTCAAAATGTAATTCAAGAGATCTTAAATAACTAATATGTCTAGTCATAAACCAGTATCAGAAATCTGGAATGTAAGAGTGGTAGAGACGATTGTATGTTAAAATGACCTGCCGTAGAACCAGAGCATCCAGCAGTTCGATGCTAAAGACAAGAAAACAGGATGACAGAACTAATGTTAGCTTTATGTTAGCTTGTTGTAGCTCACTACTGTTGTGTAGTTAAATTTGTGTGGGAAAAAAACAGTAGAAAGTACAATAGAAAGTACACCAACTGTGCTACAGCTAACTGCCAGTAATGTTTCTAACCAGTGAATTTAATGTAAATAACTGTAAAGCAAAAGTGACAAAGATGGGAATTTTATAAAACTGCCTTTATATCAACTGCTTTGAAATTTTAGAGTTCAGTTATCTTAAGGTCACTTTAATCTTCTCAGATTAGCATTATCTTTTCACTCTGATCTAAATTTTACAATTTCTCCAAAGTGAGGAAGTTAAGAGTTATCAGTTAAAAT